TTCAAAAAAAAAAATATTTTCCAACCAAATGCATCTTTTACGTATATTTAAATATTTATATGTAGATGATAATTATGGATGATGAACAAACTTAACTTCCGATCTTACATTGCTTCTAGTGCATGTTTTCTCATTACTCATTTCTCCGGCAATGATCTGCAACATTTAAATTATATATATATATATATATATAGTTTGCATTATAAGAATACAAATTATTATAAGAGGATTAAATTTTAATTTTTGGATGAGTACAAGTAGATCTGTTCAAGAATCAAAATATTTGTCTAAATTTGAAGGCCCACTTAAGTTTTGAAAGGGCTTGAAAAAAAATTAAAATCCATTAATCAAGTTTAGATACAATTTTTAGATTCATTTAAATTTTGGATCCGACCGTAAATAAAAAATTTAAAATCCAAACCCGATATTATCTTACCTAAATTTATATATATATATTATATATGTGGATTATATATAAATTAATTCAAATATATATAAATTAAAAATTAAAATTATATATTTATTAAACTTAATTTTATTTTTATATAATTTTTATTTTTAATTTTTACATATATAATTTTGTTTTTAATTTATATATATGTAAATTAAATATAATCTCATTAAACTTAATTTAATCATATTTTTTAAAATTTTTTATTATATAAATTAAGTTTAATATGTGACTTTGAAATTTATTTTTTAATTTAAACCAAATTTAAAAAAATTTTAAAATTTAAAATTTTAGATCGAATCAAATCTAAACAAATATATAAATTATTAATATTAAATATAAATTCGATTTAAATCCAATCTACTACGATCCATGAACATCTCTAAATACAAGTATTGATCTCATCATTTGATCATCACTTTTTCTTATGTGAAGTTGTGAACCAAATCGAGCATCTTTTGCTTTATCTATTATATTTTGCAAATATTATACTCATACAATGAGTAAGTTTGCCTTTTAAAAATAAAACCAATTGGTCTTTTTAATAAAATATCCAATTTCTTTTGTTATAATAAATTCCAAAAATTTTTTTTTATGGAAGAATAAATTCCAATTCTAGTATAAAACCAACCCAATCCACCCCCAACTCTATTCCCATATCAAAGCACACATTACCTATAACAAATAAGGAGACAGAATAATTTAAAGATATTATTGAACATATCCTTTCTTTATGAGAAACAAGAAAAATGTTTCACATGCACTTAACATCAATTGGCAGTGCCAGCTGTTCTTCTATCCATCCTTTATTCCAAGGGTTTAGTAACCCTAATTTTTAAGCCATTATTATATCACATTTTTGGCATTATAATGTGAAATATATTAGTATATAATAAAATATAGTATAAAATTTAAGATTTAGCTTAATTAATTTATAAAATTATTAAATAATATCTAATAATTTTAAATTTTAATATGTATAATTTTTTAATTTTAAATTATAATTTTTTTATCAAAAATATAATGTAATATATTATAATATCCTTATCTACCATACAAATTGATCACGTGGATTAATTGTGCTTTCCTCTAGCTTGAAAATGGGAAAAACAAAAAGGAAAAAGAAAAAGAAAACTAAGGAAGTTAATGCTTTTGAGTTTCTTTAGAAACAGTGACTACCTAGATGGGTCAAATTAAAGGGACATGTCGCCAACCCCAACTGTTGAACATTAACCATTGGCAGCCTTCTTTTTTTTTTTTTCATGTGATTTAAGAAAATGATCGGGATTATGAGTGAGTAAATGGTCGGTTCGATCGGTTTGATTCGAAAAAATTAATAATCAATTTAATTTATTTTTATTTAACAAATAATCGAACCGATCGAATATTATTAAATAATCGATCATAATCGAACCAATCAAAATCGGTTCGATTCGGTCGTTCAGTTAAATAACCAATTTTTTTTATCATTTTTCTTCTTATCATGAATAATTATTTAACTACAAATTCAATTTAATAAAATTCAAACTTTAGTATTATTCAAATTAAATTACTAAAGAATTTAATAATTTCAACAATATTTTACAAAAAAAATAAATAAAAATATTTATCTCATTTTTTTATTTTTAATTATTAGAAAGTCGGTTAATTCAGTCAGTACAGTTATCAATTTTAAAAATAAAAAATCGACCGAATTAACTAATTTAATCGATTTAAAAAATCAATTATAACTAAAACTGAATAAATCGAATCGATTCAGCCGAATTCATTCGATTTTGGTCGGTCTAATTGATTCAAACCGATTTTTGCTCACCTCTAGTCGAGGCAATTTAACCTCTCATGTGTGTTTGGTTTGGTTTGATTCGAAAAAGAAAAGAAAATATATTTATTTCTTCCAAAACCAAATCCAAAACTACTACTATCCCTTTGTAGAGAATAAGGGTTTGGCCACATTTGAGACTTAACTTTCAATATATTATTATTCAAATTCGGAGGAACACAAAAAGGGTTGGAACATGCACAAAAAATTTCACACCATTTTGTTTGGATATTGGGCTAAAAGATTTTTTTTTTTTTTAAATAACCTGATTTTGTAAAAATTATGCATTTGATATTAAAGCTAATAAAAAAATCATGATAAAATTTGAATTTAAAAATATTATTATTGATAGAATTGAATCCGAAATTATTCAACAATCGAGTATTTATTTATATTTGAATGGTTAATAAAATTGTATATATGTAATTAAAATTATTGAAAAAAAAAAATTTGGGAGAAGATGTAATTAACAAAAAAGAAAACAAAAGTGGAAGAAAACAACTTGGCATGTTTAGTTTTTTGAACATGTGAAAAAGTATAAAGAGTGGAGGGTTGAAGAATTGTAAGTGATATGAATCTCAATCTTGGATGAAATGTCCATATCGTCCCACAGTCATCGTACTTCTATAAACAAAATCTGCAATTATATATATAAAAAAAAACAGGTTAAAAAAAATCAAAGTATAATACCCATTTGTTGTTATTCAATTTCATTGGTTTAAAGAATAAAATCTCCCTCAGCTTTCGTTATTTTAACTGTAAGAATTTCTTGGACAACGGCTTTGCAGCTTTTATAATTTGTTTTCAACACTAACACTACTGACCACTGGCTCTAAGTAACATCTTCACATGACTCAGTCAAACTCTCCAATACCAATTCAAATCAATTATTCATAAACTGAAAAGTCAACGATAATCAAACGTCGTAATTAAGACTATGTTTGGTTGGAAGACAATAAATAGAAGGAATTAAAAAATGAGAAAAGAAAATTATTTTTCATTGTATTTAATATGAAAGATTAAAATAAAAAAATAAAAATAAATTAAAGATAAAATTATAAATAAAATTTTTATTTTAATTTGAATGAATATTTTTCTCTCATTTTTGTAGAGAAAAGAAATATGTGAATGATCAATTCATTTTCTTTCTCTCTTCTTTTTTTTTTTTTCTGATCAAAAGAAAAAAAATGATCATAATTTTCTTTTCACACCCTGTCCTTCATTCATCTTTCCCTCTTACCAAACAGTGTCAATTCAATCCACTCTAACTGTAACATAGAATTTGTAGAATAAATATTTTTCTTTTGGTACATTAATTATCCATTAATTAGTGATAAAGCTCAAAAAATCAGTTCTAAGTCATAGAAAACATTAATACTGTTCCTTAAAAAAAGAAAACATTAATAATATCATCAATATTTAATTTTTTTTTATGAAACATTAAACATATGGAAACCTAATTTTCAAATGTTTTATTTGAAATGCATCAGAATCATCCAGTTTCTTAAAAAAAAAAAAAATTAAAGTTTATGAGTTTTTTTTAAATTATTTAAAAATTCTTAAATTTTATCACTTTTAAATAATTTTTATTTTTTATATTGCATCTCAATAAATTTTTATAGGTGTTTATTATTTCTTAAATCAACTTATATCTTATTAAAATTGACATTTAAAGATTATAAATTTAAAAAATTTATATGTGTAATATTTTTTTAATTAAATAAATAATAAGATAAAAAATTAAAAAAGAGATTAAAATTTTTAAAACAAAATCTTTATACGTGAATTTGTATTAATGAATCATGAAAACTCTTTATACGTTAATTCAAATTTCAAATTTGAAGATAACTGCCGTTACCCCGTATGACACCAGGCATTTCATGCACACAGAATATGAAGAGGAATGATGAATCTTGCTGAGTTGGGCTACCAAATCGAGAGCCCTTTCACTTGGACACATGGCGAGCATGCATTGATTAACTTAAACAATCTGTTCAGCATGGAATCACCCTCTCTTTTTCTTTAAAAATTATTTTCTTAATTTCTATTTACCAAATGAAAATTCTAAAATAAACAAAAGCTATAATTAAATTAAATTAATTTTAAATAAGAATTGATACCCCATGCTTAAATGTTTGTACTATGAAATTATACAATTTAAAAAAAAAAATTATACCCACTTTAAAATTCTTAAACATACTTTTTCAAAACAGTTAATCAGTCTTTAAAAAAGTCATATATATTTTATATTATTAATAAAGTAGTTAACTGAATTTGATGTAATTAAATAAAGTGATATCAACCTCAATTGATAAATTTAATTGAAATATAAATTCATATTATAATAATAAAATAAGGTTAAAGGTAGTTATGCCTTTTTAAAATTTTTATTCTTTTTAAAAAGGCAAAGTTATGTCTTTTAAAAACAAAATAATTTTTATTCTTTTTTTTATTTACAAATAAAATTATGTTTATTATTTTTTATTCTTTTTTTCTTTACCAATAAATTTTTTAAAGAGGAAATGTTAAAAAAAGAAAAAACAAAATAGCATCGAAGGCAGTGCTTCATTGAACCAATCTCTTCAAAATTCAGTTACTTTTTATTTTATTTTATTTTATCTTACATCCATGTTTTCCAACGTGACTAATTCCCTGTCCCTTTCACTCTCTCTTTCCTTTTCTTTGCCTTGTCTTCTCATACTTTTTTTGGAAACTCTTCCTTCTCTTTTCTTTCTCTCTTAATTTCTTTTCTTTTCTTTCTCTCCAAACATGAATTCTCTAAAACCATATGTTTTATTTTTATTCTTAATCTTTATACCCTTCCTTGCTAATAATTTTGTTGTTTTTGTTAACTCCGTAACTTCTTCTTCGTCGTCGGATAATGAATACACCACTTTTTTCGACGCCATAACTTCCATAAATTCAAAGGCTTCTTCAATGTCCGATAAGAACCAAAGTTCGTCGTCTGCTTCACGTGCTTCTTCCAGCAGCTGCGAGGTATGGGAAGTGAACTGCTCCAAGGCGGTGTTGGGACTGGCCCTGAAGCGCGAGAACGTAGAGTGGATTAAAGTGTTGAGAAGGAAGATACATGAGAACCCTGAGCTTGCTTTTGAAGAGTATGAAACGAGTAAGCTGATTCGAGCCGAGTTAGATCGGATGGAGATTGAATATAGGTACCCTTTGGCGAAAACGGGTATTCGGGCTTGGATTGGAACCGGTGGCCCGCCCTTTGTTGCCATCCGAGCTGACATGGATGCTCTTCCTATACAGGTATAGATAGGTTTTTCTATGACGATTTTTTTCAAAAAAATATGTATACATATACGTTTGTTTATAATTATATACATGCATGTACTTTTATAAATATATGTACATGCTTTACATATGTACATATGTTAAGGTACTAGGTAGTTGGTACTTTTGTAGGTAAGAAGAAAATGAGGGGAGGTGGTTCATGAACATTGGATTTCATTTGCTGACAATATTTTGGACTTTGGAAGTTCCGAAATTTTGAGGGTTTTTGTATAATAAAGTTGGAGTCAACTACTTTCCTAATGGAATTTAAAGGAGTGGAAATGAACCACTAAATGTTTTGGAATCAACATAAGAATATTAAGGTTTATTAAGAAAATGAAAAATTGAGATTATCTTTTTTTGTTGCTGATTTGAGATTTTTTTGTAGGATGGATGAATTTATTGTCATGTGAGTACAATATTTTCGGTTTTGCTAAATAATATTATGTGGATAAATAATGATGCCAAATATAAAGAAAAAAGTGTACTTCTAATTAGGTATAATAAATTATAAAATGTTCATTTCTTAAGATGGAAGTTGATGAGATCTTCAAATAAATTCGGCGCATTGAAATTTTCGACAGTCAAGACCATGGTTAAATGAAATTTCTTCCATATCTTAAAGAAAGGTACTTTACTTTTGAGGTTGCATATAGAATATTATGGCATCGTTGATTTTTGGGGTAACTTACTGTAGGAAGCTGTAGAATGGGAGCATAAAAGCAAAGTTCCCGGGAAAATGCATGCTTGTGGGCACGATGCACATGTTGCAATGCTCGTTGGTGCTGCCAAAATATTGAAGAATAGAGAACACCTTTTGAAGGTTTGATTTTTTTTTTCTTCGAACTCAACACCTTCTGTAAAATCACCAACTAGTCTCATCTACATGTTTCATTGAATTTTTAATAGTAGATCATTTCATGTCATGAATACACTTTATTTTTCTTAATTCTTCCTTATGCAATGGATGCATTGTAAATCTTCTTGGTTTAGGCCTCGTTTTAAAATCCAATCATAAAATTTAGCGTTTGTTGATGGGAAACGCTGCCTTTTGATAAAGGGATTTATTTTGTGTGGACATCATTGCTTGACTGAAAGTGAAAGGATTGGTTTCCTGGCTGACTAGTCACCTGGGCCATCGTGGAGCTATAAATGGCCTTTGGTAGTTTTCTTGTTTTGCTGTATTTGGAAAGAATTATGACACCCCTTTTGTCCTCTACTTTTGCTTTCACTCATATAGGCAGATTTCTTCACATCCACATAAAGGTGGTCAGTCTTCTTGCTAAATGAAATTTGGTGTTGGGGTTGTCCAGAGAATGAACTTGAATTTATAAAGAAAAAAAAAATGAATACTGAAGCCATATCCATACTGTAATTCATCTAGATTTGGATCCAATTCTTGTTCAGCCTATTCATCTATTCAGAGGGTTTTCAATTTAGAGAATCTCCCACTTTTTTTTTCTTTTGTCCAAGACATAAATGATAAGCTACCAAACCTTGAACCACTGTTTTTCTGTAGATGTTGAATTGTGGAACTGCTTGTGTAATAAATATATTGCTGCTTTCTGCTTAACATTTTTCATTTTGTCTGTTCATTTCGCTTGGTACAAATCTAGAGCTTGATTCAAACCTTTCATTTTATCACATTGTATGGACATCATTGATTTACAAAAAGTTATAAGGGAGATTGGCTTTCAGATGTTGAATTTAGATGCGACTTCGAACCTGTTTCATTCAGTTCTATATCATATTATATTAGGACACTAGGTTAATGGATTGTTCTTCTTCTGCATAATCAATCTCATCTTTCCATCTCTACAATCTGAATCTTTAGAGGTTAAGAAAGTAAAAAATATTGACGAAGTGGTAAACATTTGTTGCTTAATTAGTATAATTAATCTTTGTTCCCAAACGTGCTTAGGCACATAAAATAACTGCATGAGTATATCATGACCCTGGGAATATTGAGAAAAACCCTTAGATAAACAAGAATCTTTTGCTCAAGGAAGAACTAAGATTTAGATCACTTGATTTATACACCTATGTTAAAAGATGATATCCAATAATTTTAAAATTCAAATATCACCACCGGTTATTTTTTTTCCCGACAAATAAAAGGCTTAAAAAATTTAATTTTCACTAAATGGTAGCCTTATTTATTGGAAGAATCTTCAAAACCAGAAAGTAATGTTGAAGAAGAATAATTTCTCCCCCACGTTTTGTTGCCTAGTAAAAGGAATTCCCTCAAACCATGGTTAACTTCTTGTAAAAGATAATATTAAAAAAAAAATGTCGTGGTTTCCAAAATTAAACAAAATTTGGTTGGAATTCAAAAATCTTTTAGAGTCTTTAGACAGTGAAATAAACCCAATTTGATTGTTTTATAATGTTGAAGCTTTGTCCTTATTTACAAAAAATAATTATTTTTTAAAATTTAATCCTTTGGCTGTCTCAGGGAACTGTTGTACTGCTCTTTCAGCCGGCTGAGGAAGCAGGAAATGGTGCTAAGGGGATGATTAGAGATGGGGCCCTGGAAAATGTAGAGGCCATTTTTGCTGTCCATGTCTCTCATGAACACCCCACGGCTATAATTGGCTCAAGGCCTGGTCCTCTGCTTGCCGGGTGCGGCTTCTTTAGAGCTGTGATCAGTGGAAAAAAAGGCCTCGCTGCGAACCCTCACCACTCAGTTGACCCCATATTGGCTGCTTCATCTGCTATAATTAGCCTACAAGGAATTGTTTCTCGCGAATCAAATCCATTGGACTCCCAGGTTTTTCTTTCTCCACCTTTAACGTTGTTTTTACTCTTGATCCTTTTTCATATTTCTAACTCCAGTTCCATCTTGTCTGTAATGAAGGTCGTATCTGTAACTTCATTCAATGGAGGCAGTGATCTTGATATGATCCCTGACACGGTGGTAATTGGAGGTACCTTCAGGGCTTTCTCCAATTCCAGCTTCTACAACCTCCTTCAAAGAATCGAAGAGGTTCGTCATGCTTTTAATTTGGATTCTAATCCTAAGTCCAGGCTGCGGTGACGAATTCAAGAGTTTTCTTCAAATTTTGAAGGAATTTTGAATGGTTTTGCCTTACTTTATATTTGGATCCGCCACTGCAAGCCTGGTTTTCCCCATCTAACACACACGTGACATGGAACACAGGTAATCGTGGAGCAAGCCAGTGTTTTTAGATGCTCGGCAATGGTTGACTTCTTTGAAAAAGAGTACACAATCTATCCCCCAACTGTGAATGATGACAGAATGTATGAGCATGTAAAGAAGGTGGCTACTGATTTGCTCGGACCACCAAATTTCAGGGTGGTCCCTCCAATGATGGGTGCCGAGGACTTCTCCTTTTATTCAGAGGCGGTTCCGGCAGCCTTCTACTACATTGGCGTGAGGAATGAGACCTTCGGGTCTACACACACAGTTCACTCGCCATATTTTATGATCGATGAAGATGTTCTTCCTTTTGGTGCTTCAGTTCATGCCACTATTGCAGAAAGATACCTCATTGAGCATGTTTAAAGAGAAGAGGCTACCTCTCGTATATCCCCCACTCAACTGAGCACAAGATTATTCGGAGTGCTTGCAATGTGATGTTCTCTCAGTAATTTTGGTCTAGTTAGGGTGTGGTCCTTCCAAAGGGCAGGATTTGCCACTTTGGCAATGTAAAGAATTGAATGTTTCGATGTTCAATGTTTCAAGTAATAGTACTCTACATTCAACTTTTCTGCAGAGAGCATTAAGTTTGCAACAACCAGGCCCAACACACCAAATTTTGAATGACAAGTGCTGAACACTGCTTCACAATTATGAAAATCAGAATATCCATTTCCTCTACCATGGTTTCAGAAACCTACCTAGCAAGTTGATCTCCCATGTCTAAAAGCAAAGAGGTATTTACCTAATCATACTAGATAAATCTCTCAGTTCATTTTTACAAGGTATAATTCTTGTAGCTTTGTGATTGTGTTCATAACCATTAAAACATAAACTAAGTGATTTTTATCGGTATAATCCATAAATTTATTGTTTATGCATTCATTTATATACATAATTTATAATGCATTATTAAGTACCTCGGTCCAATTTTGGATTAACATTCTCAATACCTACACCACACCACCAGACCTACACTTCAATCAAGTTTAGTTCTAAATTACTTTCTTCTTTTGAATATGCATCTAGAATTACACTCAAAAGAACAGAAAAAGGATACCTATCATTCCAAATTTCACTTTGATTTAGATATGACATAGATTGACAGCATTTTATTTTGATTTACTTGAGGTTTACGCCAAAAACTGTTAAAGTCAAGCATTCTATAACAACTCCTGCTCATTCTAACATCTAGCACTCTCAAATAGAAAATTTCGTACCTCAAGCTTTTTTTGCACAATCAACCAAAAAGCTCACCCGCCACATAAACATCTTGCAGCTTGCAGAGCAAAATATGTAAGGATGATGTCAGCACCAGCCCGGCGGAGGCACATCAATGATTCCATCATAACCCTTTCTTCATCAATCATTTTGAGAACGCCACCAGCCTTGATCATCGAGTATTCACCAGAAACCTGGGCAACATAAAAATAAAAATTTAAATTTAAAATTTGATAGAGAGGCTAAAAAGCGAAAGTATACATTTTTGGGGAAAAAGGAAAAAAGAAGGTACATTTTTAGAAAAAAAAATTACGTTTGATTAAGTCAGCTACAAATGTATACTTTAATGCATCACAAGAATTTACAATTTAGAAGAGAAAAAAAGAATGTCAAAAAAAAGGTCAGGGCAGGTAAAAGCTTGCTGCCTTTTCTTTTCTTTCCTTTACGTTTTCCCCATGGCTAAGTTTTGAAATGCAATTCATGCGTCACATTCCTTGCAGTGCTACATATAAGAATACATAGAGCTATGTGTGTGTTACAACTAGAAGCAGTCTTAAAGGACATCCACCAAACCCACACCTTTTCCAAAGCAAATTAAGGAATAGTTAATTGCTAATAAAGACATAATCTTGAGTATCTTATACAAGAATGGTTGGGTTCATGCAAAAATAACTCCTTTTAATTGTTTTTCCCCTTTTCTACTATTCTTATGCCATCCTATCTTTCTTCATCCTTCGTTCCATGAAGTATGAATTAGGTACTATAGTGGAAAACTCATTCCTCCAATCTTGTGAAAGGAAAAAAGAAAAGAAATTTACAGAAATAATTTCATTAACAGAATGGGAAGAAAATGCAGGACATTTTAAAGAGAATACCTGGTATGCAGCAATAGGCAAAGCAGATCGATCCCTGAGGAGTCTTATGATATCCAAATAAGGAAGACCAGGTTTCACCTATGATCCAATTAAAGACTTCATCACGAAGGGAGATTTGCCATTAATCAGAAGAGCTCAAAGTTTCTAAAAAAAGCCATACTAACCAAAAGAATATCAGCTCCTTCAGCCTCATCTTCATGAGCCTCAACTAATGCCTCTCTGTAATTCGCTGGGTTCATCTGATACCTGTTGTTAACAACCGAGTTTAACAATCAAATGTGAGCACCAAAAAATTCCCATGACAACACATAAAATGCAATACAGTCAAGTGAATTCATACGTTTTTTTATCTCCAAAACGTGGATTGGAGTCCAGTGCTTCTCGAAATGGACCATAAAATGAACTTGCATATCTGTTATGCCAGAAAAAAAATCATAAATAGTGACAACAGATTTCACCCAGGTGACCAAGAATAACTGAGAGTAATTTCTGCCAACATATTCCATTTGTTCAAAATGTTCAAAGGCCAAAGAATAAGACAACCCATAATGTCTTATGCAGTTAGGTAACAGCATCAAAAGGTATATTGTCTTTGAGCATCCCAACAGAATGACATCACTCTATTTGCCCTCAAAGCACTTTGTTTTTTTTTGGTGGTGGGGGGAAGAAAAAAGATGGTAAAACCTCTGCAATGGTTTAACACAATCATGGGTCTTTTACCATGCTTCAGTGAAACCTACTTTTAGAAACTGGTAGAGCTAGAAACAGACGTCTATAGGAATGCAATGACAAAGATACAGAGTCAAATTACTTCGCACTATAGGACATAATAGAAACATGGTGAAAGCCATCGGCATCGAGGGCAGCGCGAATAGCTCCTACACGTCCATCCATCATATCACTGGGACTAACGACATCAGCTCCAGCTCGGGCCTTTTAAAAATACACCACCAAAAGAATCAAAACATAGTCAACCAAGACAAAGCTAACAGAAAAGGAATAGGACATAAAATAAGCATAAGAGACCTCTGCAAACGATTAGCAAACTCCAAATATTTCACTAACTAGCCATTTAAAGCAGTAATAGCAAAATTTTGAAACACTATTTACTCAAACATAAAGCATCAATAAAAAGTTAATCCATGGATATGTAGTAAGACCCATGGGTGGAGGGGAAGAGCACAAAATCACAAATGCAAAGACGATCACTGAAAACTTTTGCATGAGACATCAATGGCCACAACAAATGTACCACAAGCATGGCACGTCATCACATGCCATTACTGCATATAGAACTCTGATGACAACATTAAATTTCTGCCTAAGCGTAAATGTTCTAACAGTTAAAAATCTACAAAACTTACCTGGGACACGGCTTGCTTACATAATTGATGCACTGTCTCATCATTCATTATGACTCCTACAATGTAAACGAAACATAAATAGAATTAATACTTCTATGCACATATCTATTCAGAACCTAGTAACTTTACCTGAACACAATTTTCTTGACCAAAAAGGAAATTTCTCAACAACCAAAACTCGATGCTTACACAGCATTTTTGGTAAGGAAAACAAGTATCATTCTATGTTAACTTGTATGGGAACCTAGCAAACCAAAAAGCAGCTAAGTAAGATTAACGCATCTTTTCCGGGCTATGCTTATATCTTCAACCGAATCCTTTACTAATTAATTAGGCTTTTGGCATCTGTCTGTGAATAACATGTTTTAAACCAGACACTCCATTTATAGCAACCAAAATTGTATGAAACATTTCTGTCTTACCATCTTCTCTGACGATACCATCATGCCCATCTGAGGAATATGGATCTAAAGCAACATCCGTGTAGATAACCTAATAAACCAATAAGTCATCACCATGTTTCAACACATAAAGCACCTTAATTTGGCAGTTCCATCACTATAAATAATATGCAAATCAGAGGATGAACTACATTTACTTACAAGGTCAGGGTATTTGTCCTTTAGCAGCTGTATTGTTCGAGGCACTAAACCATTGTCATTATAGGCTTCATCCCCTGAGGGAGACTAATGTGCAAAAGACCAATTACATTACATCAACATATCAAACAAAATAGGATTCTAGAGGGAGAATCAAAACCTTCAGAGCATCTGGAACTTTGGGGAAGAGCACAATACTATTAACACCAACATCCCGGGCCTTTGCTACCTGCATCAGATAATGCATACTTCAAAACAACTTCACAATTGACTGATTAAATAATTATACAAAATGCTTGTATATGTTTATAACTTCAACAATCATTAGAGCGTTTATTATCATAATTACATGAAATACGTAAGTCATTAGAACATGAAAATATACTGCTTGAGCAATAGCATTGAGGGGCTAATGCAAAACGTTTTGCGAAAAAAGAGACATTATCAGAAAGAGCTTAACAACCTCTTCAACAAGTCCATGTCTCCATCCAAGCCTATAACATCCTGGCATAGCTCCAATGGGTGTGTCCTCCTGACCTGCAGGTTTAAGGAACTGTATCAAATTAAATTTAAGCATATACCAGAAGGTAAGAAGAGAGAAAAGTATGACGAAAGTCATAGAAAAGAAAACTGCAACAATATAATATTCATGTTATGATATGAGGCTGCTTATCAGGGTCTTTCATAGAATTGATCCTCTTCGAATATTTAACTTATTAGCTTCATATTTTCACCAAAACCGGAAACAGACTAATATCCATAGAATACCAACCTTCATGAATAAAAAGTGGATATACGAAATTAGCAGGAGATATACTTGTTTCCTGGAATGATGCTCGCAATGCAGGAGACTGGCGGTTACGACGAGGTCGCCTGCTAAGTTGCTAACAAAAACAAACAAATGAGCAAAGAAGAAAAAAGAGTGCACCAACTGGCCTCAAAACCACAATTACAACTTGAATTATTTCATTTCATTGTCACGAATTGAAGAGATGTGAAGAACACATGGTTTTTGATTAAATCTCATCCATGTCACAAGACAAGAAAACCAAACCTGTGAAGTTCCAAATACATACTTAAACAATCACCATTCAATAGACCAAACACTTGGCGATGACATTCCAAAACTAATCAGATACAATCGAATTAATTACAAGTTCATATCACATTACCCCTATTTGCATATAAATACAACTAATCAGCACTATACAAAGGGCAGAAGATAAATTGCATTATCATTTCATTTTCAAACACTCACAAGAGGTTGAATCACGGGAGTCCCAACAGGAGCAGCTGGCTTAGGAGGTACTGGAGGAGCTTCCGGCACATTC